GGACTCCTGGGTTCTCTCCCCGGCTCTGGGAGGGGAGGGCTCCGGGTTCCCCCGCTGACCCCGCTCCTCCCCCGCAGTACGCCCTGTATAAGAAGATGACGCAGGCGGCCATCCTGATCCAGAGCAAGTTCCGCAGCTACTACGAGCAGAAGAAGTTCCAGCAGAGCCGGCGGGCCGCGGTGCTGATCCAGCAGTACTACCGCAGCTACAAGGAGTACGAGAAGCTGAAACAGGGCCACCGGGCCTCCGCCACCATGCAGCAGAAGATGAAGTAGGGGCCTGGACGCCTGGGTTCTCTCTCCCGCTCTGGGAGGGGAGTGGGGGCTGGTGGGTTAGAGCGGGGGGGCTGCTCCCCCATCCCTACTGGCTCCTGTCACCTCTCTGGCTATGAAAAGATCCCACAGATCTAGTTGGCATTGGCTCGGGCCACTTCGCCCCTGAGGTGGCCACATCTCAGCGCCGGGCGAGGGGTCCCTGAGTACCCGGCCGCCCCGCCCCAGAGGTGGCCGCATCAGCAAGGGGTCTCTCTATGACCATCTGCCCTGCTCCACCTTCGCTTCTTCTTTTGTCTCTCCCCAGGGGCACTTTCCTCACGAAGAAGCAGGACCAGGCCGCCCGTAAGATCATGCGGTTCCTGCGTCGCTGCCGGCACAGGTACGGCGGCCGGGGGGAGGCGCGGGGGTGTCCGAGGATGGGGGTGGGGGCGTCCCCCGCAGAGGGATGGGGCAGGATGAGCTGAGTGTGGGAATCTGGCTCATTGGAGGGGCTGGTGGGTGAGGTGGGATGAAAGGTAGGAGGGTGCACGGGCGTCCATGCTCCCAGGGATGGAATCGGGGTGTGGGGGACACCCCATGGGGTGGGATTGAAGTTTGGGGGGGTCATCAGGAACCCCCCCACCTTACCGCCCATTTCTCTGTGCCCCCCACAGGATGAAGGAACTAAAGCAAAGCAAAGAGGTGGAAAGTTTACAGAAGCGAGGTCTGGCTACTTAGCGCCGCCCCCCTCTACCCCCCCTTGCGTGTCCCCCCCCGCGGCCCGCCAAAGCCTGGGGCAGCCACGCCGGGAACCCAGGCATCTGGGACCGGCCGCCCCCACCTTCGCTCCCCTT